GAGAGAGAGAGAGAGAGAGAGAGAGAATTATACCGCAAAGAAAATCCTCGCGCACGTTCCGCCATAGCGAAACTCTCGGTGCCAAATCCTGGCGGGAAGATAGCTGTAAGGGGCCGACGCGCGATGTTTCCACCGTTCTCCGAGAGGGGGAGATAAACTCGAGGGAGAAAATGTAAATTAGGTGGAAAAAGTGGACGTGGTTTGCGCGTACGCTCGCGTTTAGGGAGCCACGCATTTGGCAAGGGGCCAAAGTGCACGGATTACGTTCCGTTTTTAAATCGCGCTTTTATTATCCAACGGCGCAATTAACTCGTTTTTTAACGCGGGACGCTCGACAAAATGCCGCGTCTATTCGCGTCGATATTATCCGCTCGTGACAATCGCGGTTTAAAAGTATCCTGCACACCCGCCAATAATCCCGTCCATTAATCTATTCGAGGGAAAGAATCGTCGAGCGAGTCGTGAATGGGGACGCGTTTCGAAAAAAAAAAAAAAAAAAAAAAAAAAGAAAGAGAACAACGTTTTTATTTATCGACTGCCCGTGTATCGATCTTGTCGACGAGGCGAGATACGCTGAAAATTCTACTGCTTTTTATCGGTCCAAGCTGATTTATTTCAAGAACTCCACGGTTCCCTCCCCTCCTCCTCCTCCTCCTCGACTGTATGAGCCACTTCGGTTGGAACGCTGCCAACCGAACTGAATAGCCGTTGGCTCGCCTCTGGGAAATTAAGTGTGTACACGGAAAAAACGTGCGAAACCAAAAATGTCGCGCCTATGAACGAGGCGGAGCCTCTCCGAACTGGAAACGCTTTAATGGATCCGAAATCGTTCGATCTCTCTCTCTCTATCTCTCTCTCTCTCTCTCTTTTTCGCGAGTACGAAACCTTTCCCCGGCGAAAGCGGGGAAATATTTATGCATCTCGTTCAACGGGAGTGGGGGAATATATACGTTAATCTTTCGGCCGATTTCGGTGTACGGGCGTTTTTATTGGAAATTTCACGTTTCTCGGTCGTATTAAGGCGACGTGAAATTTGTGGTAATTGATATTGTTGGAGATTCGTTGCTCTGATATTTCGTGACGGTTTTAACCTAGTTTCGAAAGGGATTATGTATATATATATATATATTTTTTGAAATTGTATATGTAAATATTACTGTGTAGCTTTTACTGTGTATGTGTGGAGGAAGAAATAGATTTTTCTTTTTTAGAAGAAATGGGAGAAAATTGTTTGGGCATTATTCTACGAGGAGATTCAATTTAAAAATTTTTATTTATCAAGTTATATGTGGAACACGATGGATAATGCGTTTACACGAGGATTAAATAGGATAATTCATTCACTACTCGTTCGTTAATTGTATACTAATAAAAAAAATAAAATCGACTTTCATACTTCTTTAATTCATCTTAAACAAGTTTCATTTCTTTTTGCATACTTGACTATATATATATATATAAAGACATCAAGAAGTATCTCGTAGCATACTTTTTCCCGTTTAAACTTTTCTTTTTTACAGTTATATAACACGGGATTAATATTCATGGAATATTTCGTCAAAAGTATATCAAACATTATGGAAATCACGTTTAAATAAAGAAAACGATCCAACTTGGACGAAAAATAAAATTTTCCTGCGAAAATAAAAATAAAAGAAAAAAAAAAAACCTACTTGAAAATGCAAAATTCCCTATAAAACGAATCCCCATAATTTCTCCCTTCTCAGATATCGCATAACTTCTCATTACTTTTCCTCCATAGATTTTCACATTACATTCCTTAAATTTTCCCTCGTTTGTTAAAATATTCATATCCCGCTATTACGAATATTATTCATTATCGCGTATTCGAATTTCCCTCCCATGTTTACCGCGTCGGTAAAGCAGAACCTCTTCTCCTCCCCCCACCCCAAAAAATTCGAGTTACCACATTACCAGGGACTCTTGGATGGAACAATTAGCGGAATTACGATATTATACAAACGCGACGTGGTAAGCGTTGGCGCGAAATTGGCACAAATTGAACGAAAACGAAACGCGGGATCCCATTGGATC